TTTTTCAATAGCTTATACTATTTAGATTCTTTAATTAATAATAGTTAACGTTGCGTTTTCTAGCTTCATGCATTGCTTTTAATAATACATATTGCTATGAGGTATAAGATTTGGTTCAGGGCCTCTTTACGGATGTGTAACTGGAGGGGACATATTTAGCGGGGGACCTGGAGAAGTTCCAGGCGGCAAGTCTGTGTCACTGCAGCTACCAGCGTATATATGCATGGTTTAACTAATAAATATACGCCATAGGGCAGCAGATCAGGCCAATATTAACTAGGATTCTGAGACAACCGAGTCGACCACCGAAGGTGCAAGCCTCTAGAGGGGTCAGGGGGCATGCCCCCCAGAAAATTTTGGATTTTGTGAAGCTCAGATAAGCTATTTCCAGGAGTTTTCCAACAAGAAATTAACCTTACACTAGTCTCCGAAAATCAAACCAGCTGATCTTCTGGGACTGGTCAAATCGATCCCTGCAACCATGTTATTTTGCAACATTTTTTCCCCCACCAAATACTGGGGCAGGATATTTTTTCCCCCAGTTTGTTAGTGCAGGCATTTTCTTTTGTTCAGAATAGCCTTGCAGGAAATCACCCCCTCCCCCATCCCCCTCAAAAGTTAATGGTCGGCCCCTAAGAAGAATAGAATACAATACCAAACATAAACTACTTTGTAGCCTGCTCGGATACGTATTGCCATGATCGTAAGAAGATCTTGTGGGGGGGGGCTCATATTCATATATTCATGTTCGCAGACTGTAAAAACAATCAAATTCAAAAGAAGTTAATGATGCAGACCACAAATATATGAATATGAGCTCCTGCCCCCCCCTGCCAATTATCTATCTTTCTATGCCCATGGCCATGCAGACTGAAATATCGAAATTTAATACGTATGCGAGCAGGCTACCCATAGCAAAGACAGATAAGTAGTTTATGTTTGGTATTGTATTCTATTCTACTTACTGGGGTTTCTTTCGCTTTAAGAGATTTCACTCCAGTTATAAAGTGAGGTCATCGGCGAAGGTAAAGTATTTCAATTTCCGAAAATCAAAAGTAATTCAGGTGCAAAACGTTATATTCTTGACTTGCAAATAATCTCCTCCTGGTACACACCAGACAATGTTCATTGATAAAATCACAAAATACTTGACACGGTATATCTATTCTGTGATAAAATATTCTTTTGTGCCATGCCACCTGACATGGCGGGTGACGTGCAAGTCAAGAATAGAGAAAATGTAAAAATCAGTCCAGTCCAACTGTCCAGTCCAGTCCAACTGTCCAGTCCAGTCCATGTTTTGTACTATGCCCAGTAAACATGCGATAAAACCCTGTCTAGACGGTCTGGCGTCAAGGATAATGATTGGATAATATTTTTAGAATATGATGCATTAAGCCATTATACATTTTTTGCATTCTTTATCCGAACCAGGAATCGCTAACAAATTCACCAGAGGTTTTTCCATTTCCCACGCGCGTTTTCTCGCATTTTGCGTTCACCAAACCTAAAAATACCTCTGGGCCAGGGTAGTAATTCTGTCATCTTAATAATGAATAGGTTTTTGCGCGTTTGCCATTTGATCCATATGTCCACAATACTCGAAAATATTGGCGAGTTTGTTTGTTTGTAAGAGATATTAAATTCACTAGCTAACTTGGGGGCGAAACGACTTGGGGCGAAACGACCAGATACTGTTATACCAAGGCGCCAACAACGACACAGCTCACCCCCCCCCCCCTGCCGGATATATCCGGAAAATTCTACATAGAATCCATGCCGAGCTAGTTGGTATTGTCCTAGTTTACATTTAGCATAGAATACAACAAAAGTAATCTACGAGTCAAATCCAATAATTGGTCAAATGCCCGCCCCGCCCGAACAGGCAGAAACCAGTCAAATGCCCTGCTATAGGGGTAGTCCTGGTTCTGGAATTTTGGCTAAAATTAAATTTAACAAGTATTTCCAGATTAAAAAGAACGAAAAATAGGCCAGACAGTTCTTATTTTTGTTCAACCGGGCATATTGTATCATATATCTATGATTGATATTTGTGACGCAAAATAGAAAACTCGTGAAGCGCTAGAATGTACACATATTTTTAGGGAAAACCGCTGAGCAAATTGTTGTCAAATGGTCAAATGCCCGACCGGGTCGTCAAATTCCCGCCTATACAGGGGTAATGTTAAGTCAAATGCCCTGGGGTTGCCCGGGGGGGGGGGGCTGATCGCGGTTGGATTTGATTTGTACATATAACTAAGCTTAAAAATTATCCACACAAATGAGTATTAGCTCTTATGCTTATGTAAACAAGAACAGCAGTAACTAGCCATGAGTTTCCCTAAAGCCACAAGTGAATTGGGCGTAAACAACGTTATTTAATAACAGCCAAATTTGTCTACTGACTCTACTCAAAAATTTAATAATCGAAGTATAGCTTCGAGAGAAGACCTTTAAAACTAAAAAATATTACCAAAAACACGTTAAAAAACTTACCATTAACTCATTAAGACAGGTTGTTCTTTCATTCAAGCGTTGTATCTTTATCCATGCTCGAATTGCGAGTTGAAATTTTTATGAACCAGTACAGCGACGAAGTTTGAAATTTCGGTCGGTCTTTCACAGCAAATAACATCACAAAATCGCATGTTTTTTTCTCGCCAGTGAATAAACACTCTCCCTTTCCATTGAGTTATAATTTCCACAACGAACTAGTCGCTATAACGTGAAATAAGCGGTTATTTTAAAACAAAAACGCCCAAGTATAAACGAGCGCCATCTTGTCTTCTCGAGAATCAAAAATTTTTGTTAATTTTCCCGCCAAACGGCAAAAGCTCCCGCGAAGTCCCGCATGAAAATGACGTCACAGGTCAGAGTCCGGGGGTGGGGGGAGGGGGAACTGTCAAATTTGGTCAAAGATTTCAAAAATACGCAATTAAATGCAATTTTAGCCTGCTCTAGCAATGCTCTAGCTGTTTATTTTCGCTTTTAAATTCATATAGGGTGTAGATTATTATGAACTACCAAAGTACAAGACAATTTAATGTACAATTAGTATTTAATTAATTTAAGAAGAAATGAGTCATTCTAAATGAGTCATGTGTGTGATAAATTATGCGTGAAAGGTTACTATACTTACTGATGCCTATGGCAGAGTCAAAAGTTTGGAGGACTTATCTTATATGATTCAACATCGATAAATTTCGTTTAAATTTCGTTTAAAAGTCTATCTCAAAACATTTCAAAACCCTCGCTATTCCTCCCGGCTCAATTTGTACATAAACTACAAGTTTGTACAAGCTAGGATGTTTGAAATGGACTTCGCCTTCGGCATCAAAGTCTTCAAACCGGAGAATATTTTCAAAAATTCATTGCTTTAAAAACGTATCTAAAAATATTTAGAACGCTTCAACAATACTTAAAATTACTAGAATACGTTCTTGTAGCGTAAAGGATGCTTTAAACACAGAGGCGAGCTACAATAAGAACAACGTTTTATAGTGAGCATTGACAACATGCTTTATAGTGCTTACCACGTGTGGCTAAATATTTCGCCTTCGACCATATTTCTCTTCGACATGTTGGCGATTTTAATAAGCTTTCTCGTCAAGAATTCGATCTAAAATTGCACACAAGACAAATATGAGCTACGTAAATTAAAGCGAGAGTATTCTGAAACATTATTAGTACAAAATTTGGCAGAAATGGCAAGAGTACGTAGCGAGAAAGAGGCGTGGAGCAGCTGGCACGGGCGAAAGTCGAATTCATTCACAGCTACAAGGCAACACGAGGTTGAAACAAGGGCTATAAAATCAACAAGAACAAGTCTACACGTCTATAAAAACGATAAATTCGACACAGACCTGTTCTTCGACATAGTTAAGCCATTTCGTTTCGATTGAGGTGAATCTAAGCGAAGTTCTTTTCCAAATTTTGAACGTGTACTTCGACATGATTTGTCTCACAACTTGCTTCAAAGTTGAATTTTCAAATTTGCCACGATTTGCATAATATACCACGAACGCAGATTGGTTTAGCCTAGAAAAACTTCATCCTGATTGGCTACTGCTCAAAGTATCTATTCGTCTGTAATTCCCTTGGGAGAATAGGTCAATCTGGAGGGGGGGGGGTGGGGGGGTGGTTGGAAACCACCCCTCAACTGTGGGGGGGGGTAAAAATAAGGTAAAATTCAACTTTAAATTTTGACATTTTCAGGTAAAATTTGCGTAATAAAGTCGTTATTTTTGTGAAATGATAACCACTTTTGTAAAATACAGTCAATTTAGATCCAATTCGTTTGCGAATTTGCTTTAGAAAACGCCAGAAATGCAGTCCAGGAGATTCAAAAATGTAAAAATTTTCTGGGGGAGGAACCCCCTCTTCTTTGGAACTTAGTATGACAGTGGAAATCAATCAGAAAAAGCTCTATTATAATTATTACACTTCAGGTGAATTATTAACATTGAAGTTCAAATCAGGTAAAATCCTCCGAGTTTGATTGGAACTTTAGACTTATGGCTTTTGGCCATTTTTTTACGTTTCACGTTATGACAATAACAGAATTGCGAGTTTTATCATTGAATTGTAAATATATATTTTATATACATATTATTCATCTACATAACTAGATAAATGAAATTCTACCAAATAAATAGAATTAGAACTAACTTTACAGTTTATCTAAAATTGATGTGCACAATTAAAAATTTCATTAAATACGACACTGAAGTTCGCTTTGCCGCCATTAAAATGACCTCACAATGACGTCATCATCATTCGTAGAAGGCATCAGGTTGTGACGTTCCAATGAAGACAACCTCATGACGTCATCATGATGATAAATATATTGTGACGTCACGATGGTGCCGCCATATTACAACTTTAGTGACATAATTATGGCGTCATCGTGACGTCATAATATAGTGATGACAAATGCATCAAGATATGACGTCATCTTGATGAAATTTGTCATATTATATTATATTATATTTATAATGACGTCATGTTATGACGTCACAATCTTCCTGGTTAGGTCTTCGTCGACGTGATTGAATATGACCATTGCTGAACTGTAAACAAACAGAACGTAAATTGATCACTGATCAACTCATGCGAATTGCTGAGTTGGCAAGCGAGAATTACGCATGAGAGTTTTCTCAACTCTCATCCATCTTAGTTAGTTTAGTTTAGGTTCCCTCCTGTAGTAACACTGGATCAATAAGAGATGATCCTTACTGGACTTCCAGGGAGAACAGTTTAGAACTGATAGAGCTATCCAGTATAAATAAAATTTAGTTTAGTTTAGGTTCCCTCCTGTAGTAACACTGGATCAATAAGAGATGATCCTTACTGAATCTCTAGGAAGAACAGTTTAGAACTGATAGCTATCCAGTATAAATAAAGTTAGTTTAGTTTATCCTGCACAGATAAAGCTAGCTCAAAATATGTCGTCAAAACAAGCCAGTAACTGCATATCAATGTTCAGAAATTCAGTACCTTATCTTGGTCTTCTTCGTCGGAAAAAAGAGAAGCATTTGATGGGGAGTACAGATCTAAAACGAGAAATACATTACAATTACCATCAATATGTACATATTATGTACGAAAATATGTACATCAATATGTACAAAATATTGCGGCAATGCTCCTGTAGTATTCGAAAAATTTAATCACCCGAAACAGTATTCTCTATGGATGATAGATTCCATAGAAAATACTGTTTCGGGTGATTAAATTTTTCGAATACTACAGGAGCATTACCGCAATATTTTTAAAGATACGTCTAGCTGCAATCACTAATAAATCCTGAAAATAAGGCATACAATCTTACAAGAAACGTAACATCATTTGTTTCAATTTGGATAATTAGATAGTCATATAATTAGTAACTTTTTAGTTTCTGGTATATCATGTGTTAAAACTTAATTGTCTTAACAAACTTTTTGCATGAATTGCGAGTCATTTTTAGATCTTGGCGAGTTCCAGAGAATGACTGTTTAAGACGAAATTGATTTCTGTAATAAAGTTACCTGTAAAAACTTGCAGACAAAGTTAATGAAATAAAAATAAACTAAAACTCACTGTTATGCAAGGGAGCCCTGATTGGTTCTAATTTCCTGCCGTTGCCAGGGAAACCATTTAAGGAGGCTGGCGGTGTTTTCCAAGCAAGTGGTTTCAAAACCACTCCCGTGTCGCTATTTTCTCCATCGTCGCTCGGAGCGGTTTGATTCCGTTTAGTTTTTTTCTTCTTTTTTCGTTTCTTTTTGCTTCCTGTTGTTTCGTTTCCATTCTCGCTTGCTCGTTGAGTGGTTTCTGACAAGGGTGCTGACGTTATCGAGTTTGAATTCACTTCGTTATCCTGTAAACGGTACAAATTCTTCTATATTTTGGACATATCTTGATTAAAATGTTAAGCAAGCGATTCTACACACGTAAAAATCTGACAACTTGTCAACAAGATGGTTTCCAACAGGTTTGTAGCAAGCTTATCAACAAGATATGTCCGCAACAGGCTTGCAGCAAGCTTGTCAACAAGATGTGTTCGCAACAGGCTTGTAGCAAGCTTGTCAACCAGACGTGTTCGCAACAGGCTTGTAGCAAGCTTGTCAACAAGATGTGTTTGCAACAGACTTGTAGCAAGCTTGTCAACAAGATGTGTTTGCAACAGACTTGTAGCAAGCTTGTCAACAAGACGTGTTCGCAACAGGCTTGTAGCAAGCTTGTCAACAAGACGTGTTCGCAACAGGCTTGTAGCAAGCTTGTCAACAAGAAGTGTTCGCAACAGGCTTGTAGCAAGCTTGTCAACAAGATGTGTTCACAACAGGCTTGTAGCAAGCTTGTCAACAAGATGTGTTCACAACAGGTTTGTAGCAAGCTTATCAACAAGATGTGTTTGCAACAGGTTTGTAGCAAGCTTGTCAACAAGATGTGTTCGCAACAGGCTTGTAGCCATAGATATCTTATATACACTAGATAGCGCATCTCTTTTAGTAAAATTGAAGCCAAGAATATTCCAGCGGTTCCCACCATTTGAATAGATGGCGGCCATGTTGGTCGTTCCCACTTGCTAATAAACGCTTAAAAACAACAATAACTTTCATCATTTGAATAGTTTAAAAACGTATTTGGAATAGGGTTAACTTAATGTTTAAGTTCCCTGTTTAAGAAATAGAAAACATACGAATCTTCTCATTTCATGGGAACGACCTGAGACTGCAATCACGGCTTCAATTTTTGAATTGTAGAATAATTAGATGCACTATCTAGTGTATATAAGATATCTATGCTTGTAGCAAGCTTGTCAACAAGACGTGTTCGCAACAGGCTTGTAGCAAGCTTGTCAACAAGATGTGTTCGCAACAGGCTTGTAGCAAGCTTGTCAACCAGACGTGTTCGCAACAGGCTTGTAGCAAGCTTGTCAACAAGATGTGTTTGCAACAGACTTGTAGCAAGCTTGTCAACAAGATGTGTTTGCAACAGACTTGTAGCAAGCTTGTCAACAAGATGTGTTCGAAACAGGCTTGTAGCAAGCTTGTCAACAAGATGTGTTC